ACCTGGTATGTCTCGTTTGTGGGGTCGCTGGGACCGTGGGTTCGAATCCCATTGAAGCCACGGATGTTTGTCCGCGTTTTTCTGTGTTGTGCTGTCCTGTGTACAGGTAGAGGCCTTGCGACGGGCCGATCCCTCATCCAAGGAGTCCTAACAAATTCCCATAGATCGAGCCAACGAAAAGTTGGGACCCGCACTGCTCAGGCACTTGAAGAACGGGTCGTTACCAGCATCCAATATGTCTCATTTACTGCGGGCCAATTAAAGTTAGGGCTCTTCAATTTTATGGACCAATAAACTACTACATATAACTAAATGTCCCTCGAAGGATTTTTAACTTTGATATCATATGAGAATTGCAACTCAGATTAATTAGAGTGAATGAAACTTTCTGACAAAGTAATTAATTCAGGTCGTGGGATTAATATCACGGGATATATAACTGACGGAAAACTTTTTTTTTAAGTTACAAAACGTACGCCTTATAAAATATGCATATAACTTTCAGATTTTTATAAGCTCGCCATTAAATCAACAATTACCATCGAAGGCGATGTTCATCGTGTTGCTACGTCACGCAAAGTCAACCCATGCCAGCTTATTTTATAACGCGGGCATTGCACGAAACAACAGAACATACAGGTCATTGGATACGTAATGTTGCGTGCTTATGGTATCACCAGTCTATAGATGCAAACAACAGACGAACGCAATGCGTAAAGGAAAGATAGATGCAAACAACAGACGAACGCAATGCGTAAAGGAAAGATATGTTAAAGCTGCCTCAGACGAAAAATTTTCCCTTCCAGTGCCTTCTTACTGGAGTTCAAAAGTACCTGAACGTGGTATCAGCTCTCATTAAGTAATATTTTAACCTGAATATCATTTTTAGTGCCAGAAAACATCGGCTATAATTGAAATTACATTACATTTGAAGTTCTCAAAAGTCCATGAACTGATGCTCGTGTTCTGGGCCATAACATCGTGTGAACTTGTAGGCATATGCCAACGTTTCGGAGGAGCATTCTGCCTCCATGTTCAGGGCTAAAGATGACATAACAACCCAGAGAAGCAACATCGATATCATCGTAACTGTTCATCAACACGGCTGAGACCGCAGATCGCTTACGAGGGTCAAATTATAATTCCAGGCACGCACAAGGCATCAAAACCTGAAACCTCAACGCAACTCTGTCGCCGTCGACATCCCTACAACGTCACGTCCACAAAATGGTGCCCACCGTGATGATGGTAGCAGGGCTTGGAGAGCTCACTGTCGCCCGTCACCCGCTGGCCTGTACCGCACGTACGTATCGGACTTCGCTTCGATTTTTGTAATTTTTCTGACTGATAACATTAGCGGTAATTTTCCAGCAAGTTCGAACAACACAGTCCCCAGATAAGGGGAAAATAAAAATTGTCTAAATACGTACGCGCAGATAAAAGAGCAGATTAGAGAATTTTTAATAAAAATTCTGCGAAGCAATTTTGATACCAGTAGTGTTAACGACTGTCATATTGCGTTTGCCGACATTCCGACGCCGAAGGACAAAAGTTATCTTTATTCCCCGGCAGTGGGCGCGAAAAAAATCTCCAATTTGCTGCAATTTTACGAAATCTCACAAGTGATTAATACCTTATATCAACATCCATTCATAACAATCATAATCATCCTTCAATCACACAAAGCAGAGTCAGATTTTGGCCCTTTCTGTTCCAGCATTCATGTCCTCCGGAACATGAAAACCCTCCTTCAACGCGGAAAATTCGATTATACGCGGCCTGCAAAACACGAAAAATACCACTGCCGTGTCCACGTGTAGGTAGTAGCCAGGCTTAAAGACGGAGGCAAAATGGTCCTCCGAAACGTCGATAAGAACCTACAAGGGTTCACAACACGGAAGACCACAATCAACGACGTTTCTGCAACGGAATCCTCAAACCGCTAAGCGTATTGCCTAAAAGCGAATTTTTCTGTTATATCATCCTCCATGTCCAATGTTAAAAACCACTGCTAGAATTAAGAATACTTCAGCATTTATTTATTTATTTCAATTTATTTACCGAATCTGTCCGAAGCTGAGACTGTCTAATAATAAGGTCAATAAATAATTAAATTTAAATGATATGGCAGAAAGTTGTAGAGTCATAATTAATTTGCCTGGAAGGACTGACAAAAATAATTACGAAAACCCTCTGTGTGAACACCACGTCTGTGGGTAAAGATTTGAACCCAAGATCCCCAAATATGAAGAAATTCGTTTAAAAAGTTATTATCTCTGGATTAAAAATAGGCTTAAAACAGATTCGAAAGTTAAGTTGTTTTATAAAAAAAAAGGACTTAATAATCAGTTGGTAAATGGAACTCAAGAACGCGCAAAACTCCCGCCCACATGAACAGAGCGCCGGCCGACCACGCAATCCAAGCACGACCGCAGCCTCATAAATTGTACACCCGGTACAATCCGGGCTTTAGTCTAGAGGGAGGTTGAGACAAAGGTACAGTCTCTCCGGCCTTAGGACCTTAAAACATTAAGCAGAATTTCTACAAACATCTTGACATCCATGGCGTTCTACGGCATTCACTTCCTGTCTCTATGAACGTTCACTTCTAAGACACAATACGATTTTTTCAACGCTAATGTTGAAACGTAATCCATCTATTTTCCTTTGAAACTTCACGTAGAGAAAATGAAATGGAAACGAAGTTTATGATTTCACTGCTTTCGTATTTCAATTCTAGAAATGGGATAATAATACGTTTAAATTACTTTTAATTAAAGCCTGTAATCTAAATACAAATTGTAACATCCGTACCAAGTGTCCACCTACATCGCTTATGATTCGTAACAATAAAATATCGCCAATAACGTAAAGGCTTACGATCTAGGCCTACCTGTTTCCGTTTGCTGTGTTGAAATGTGTTGGCAGTGTTGTCGTGCTGTTCCTTGAATTTCTCCAGCACTTTGGACAATTTTTCATATTCATCCTGATCCTCGGCGATCAGAATGTACGAACGCCAGTTACTGGAGTCGAACCCCCAATGGCAGGTACGGTTTTCCTTAAACCGATGAACATGGCAAACAAATTTTTGCGGTGAAAACATTCCGTGACATTCAGCGCACTCTATGCAATGTGCATTTCTGTCCGTGTACAATTCCGGAGTACAAATTCCCTTACACTTCCCAAAACACTCGTGGTACACTTCAAAGGAGAGGGCTCCCCCTTCGCGGGCCGAAACTGCTGCCTTGATCACTAACCCGCCAATCCGATGGAGCAGGGCACTAGACAGTCGTTCCGCGTCCGTCTTTGTGATGAGTCCACACGAAGGGGCAGTCATGGGGAGAATCCCAGTCACTTTAAGCACTTCGAGTTGTTCAGGATTGCATCTCGAGCAGAAAATCTGTAGTTCCTCACACACTTGATTTATCTGAAACAGACTAAATTCTCGCAGCACACTGTTAAGGACCTGAGGAAGGCAGAGTCGCTTCTCGCCACCCACCACAAAGCACGAAATGGTTTCACCCTCGAGTACAGTCTCAGAGAGTTCACTGCGGGACTGATCCGGGGTCGTCAGGATCGGAAGCTGCTGTATGGGAAAGGGTGGTGGGGCCATGAACACGTCACCACAATCGGAGGTTGCGGGTGTAGCAGGCTCCTTCTTCGGGACCACCGTAGCCGTGCCAAGCAAAGTACTGGGCCCATGAAGGCTCTTGACCGCACTCAGCTGGTACGTCTTGAGCACTTTCTTGAGATGCGGGCTATACTGCTGTTGCTTGGACACAGCTACCACCGTCTCCATCATCTTCGCGCAGCAACTCACTTCTTCACGTACACGAAGATGACACTGCTCGCTGCCTCTCCCTCATAAGATGCACCACTATTAGTAGGGGACCGCGCGCTGTGCATCCAGTCCACGACACACATCATACCTCTCAACAAACGTCCTTACCAGACGTTTTCCCAAACATGTCTGCCTGCTCGGCGGAGCTAGTTTGCCTACTAGGGCAATGATAAGGCTGTTCCTTCCGCTGCTCCACCTCCCTCTACACACTCGAAAAGATCGATATAACACTACAACGCTCAAACAATGAACTATCAGTGAAATTATGAGTTTCTAACATCTATATATGCTTATTCTAAACGATTACCCTATTGATATTTCTATTATTTGTAGCAAACACTGCTATTTCCGCCATATTAGCGGCCAACTGGGGAGTAGGAACGCTGAATGGCACAGAGGCCGTCGCAGTAGACCGTGTCGCCGCCTGGTAACGCTTTTCCTCTCCGTCCCCCCTCTTTGCCCCGCTCAGTCTGCGGCGGGCAGAGGCAGTAATGTCATGTGACCTTCCCGTCAAAATAGCCGGCATGTCGAGACGAGTGGGGGGGAGGGAAGTAGGTGAGATTTGGTGGTGGGGGAAAAGACGAGATTGAGTCAGACTCCTCCCGAGAGAGTGCGGCTAGCAGCGCCGAATCTAAATACCGAGCAGCTGTCTAGGGACGGAAGGCACACGGACATGACACTATAAGTCTATCTTTCCTTATGAAAACAGGCTCTCTGTATCTGTAGTTAATTGAGACCTTAAAAAATGGGACGGATTAAGAAACAAGGGAGGCATAAGTTTGGATGCTATGTTCCGGGGAAAACAATTAAAAATGAAACTCATTTTGATGGATAAATAAGCAACAAAGAAATTTACTGTTTTAACAACAACTTTCTTTGCTAGTGTGTGTTTTATATATTCATTTATTTTATTTAGTGTTCTGTCTGAGGACAGGTCCATATGAACTGGATCCTTCCATCCTTTTCTCGGACTGGGACCTGTTCATATACGTTCTTGGCAGATGATCCAGAAGTGGTTTGCCATTGCCTTCTTCTGTGTGTGAATGGAGTAAGTGTTGGGATGCCACGGAGGAAAACTCCGGGTTGCCTAGACCACGGCCTGGCCCAACACAAGTTATAAATTCGAACCCGACACCCCAGGATTACAAGGCCAGCGTTCTAACCGCTAGACCACCTCATCTTATTATTATTTAGTGTTCTGTCTGACGATAGGTCCATATGAACAGGATCCTTCCATCTTTTTCTCGGACTGGGACCTGTTCATATATGTTCTTGGCAGATGATCCAGAAGTGGTTTGCCCTTGCCTTCTTCTGTGTGTGAATGGAGTAATTGTTGGGATGCCACGGAGGAAAACTCCGTGTTGCCTAGACCACGGCCTTGCCCAACACAAGTTATAAATTCGGGCACCGCCGGGAATCGAACCCGAGACCCCCAGGATTACAAGGTCAGCGTTCTAACCGCAACACTTTTCAGTTACACAATCGCAATGAGCCACAACGTGTTCCTGAGTGTTACATCGGATTTAATAGTCTGAATTTGATGCATTTTTAAGTGATAAATAATTCAAGGACACCACCAATGGTGCTCGAGTTTCAGGTGAAAGGTGAAACTGGTGCATTCCTAGAAAATCTGCCACCTCCGTTCACTGTGATCGATTCCCTGTGCCGCCCTGCGCTTACGAAGGTTTTACGCAGACGCGAATACTGGGGTACGGGTCACCATGCAACAGAAAGTGCTCTGAAGGGCTGAGGGGAGGATAACACTTCAGCGACCGCCATATTCTTCTTATTCTTCAAGCTTTCCCCATTTTCATCAGCTACTTTCATTAGGCGAGATTAGAAATTCTCAAGGCGGCGAGGATGAAGATGGCACTCTTCTGGGTTATTGCGCTATGCAGTCCCGTAGAAGTTTACCGACGGTTTAGAGGTCCTTGCTGCCTTCATCATCAGGGCGATCATAGCCCAGACTTTCTCCAAATCTTCGTTTTTTCCTCCGGGATCATACGGTGATGTTCCCATGGTACACCGTCCCACTCTCGGCTCAACTACCCTCAATAAGGTTTGTGATTTTCCTCAGTCCCTCTATAAAAATGCTAGTATAAGAATACAAAGTTAAGCCACGGATACATTTCCAATTTATTAACAACCGTCCAAGCGTTCAGACGCTACTTAATATAGAAGTTTAAAATGTGTCGTTAAAAGTATAATCTACCTTAATCATTCGCCCGTTCCTTTTTATGAAACAAAATCCAGCCAATGATCCATATTCTGATCAAGACGAATCCAGTCCAATCCTCATATCGTTATTTTTATAATAGATTAGTCTGATCCTTTGAGGTCGAAGCTCGTCTCGTTAACATTTAAGAATTCGGTCCGTACCGCAAGGAAAACACAGCACTTCACCATTACGAAGATAAAATGGTGTTCAATCTATGGTTTCCTCTCTGAGCGAGGAATAAATGTTCACGCCTATACAAAATAACATAAATAAATTACTTTCTTGCGCGATTTCCTTTACAAAGTAACACAGAATTCAAATTTTGTGAGTCCATTCTCTCTTCCTTTTAGATAACGTGAGACTGTGATTAAAATCTCAATCAAGATTCCGTACACTTCATGCCGTCTGTTCAAAATTGCTAAAGCAAACTACTTTCAATTCGCCAAAAAAAGTACCCCAATTCTTGTACCATAAATTAATTCTCGTAATTTAAGGCACAACGTCTATGGCAAGATTTACAAATTTGTAACTACTGTCATCTGAAGTGAATTGGTTGTCGCTGCTAACGAAATTCTCTCTCTCTCTCCTCGTTACAACAGAAGTCCCTGCAATGTTTTATGAATTATTAATCTATTTTGAATGGCGGATAGGCTGCTATGATGTTCTTACGACAACAGACTGAGGGAGATGACTTGAATTTATTTTTGGTCTGGGAATAAACAGGGAATAAGGGATAACAGACTGTGAGACGAATAAATTAACTGATTGTTCAATGGATTTACCATCTCACTGACTGACATTACTGAATAAGCGACTACTTAACTGGTTACTCGACTAAATGTTCAACAAAATTTCTCACCGAGTCAACTGTCTGCGTGTCTTGACTTCGTAACTTACTCGCTGACTGAGTTAACTGATAAATGACTGACATTTACTAACAAAGGCAGGAAGGATAGAAAATATTAGCGAAATTCCATCACCACTATCGTCTCTTTAAATTTAATCTCAGTCCGTTAAGAACTTTAAAGGTTGGAATTTAAACTCCAGAGATCTCTTCATTATGGGGGGGGGGGGGGACAGTTTATGAAAATGTTTGCGAAGACGGCGAAAGATTTTATGTGTACGATTTCATTTTCAATGTCGTTACATTCTGTCCATTTCTGTAAAAAAAAAATATATATTTAATTCAAAAAATTTAATAGAAGGCTAGGTTATACGACCGATTTTCAGAAATGAATCAAAGTAGATTCGAAACGTGAAATCCAACTTTGATATGGACTGCATGTTTCCAATATGCGTTCTAACCTATTGTATCTCATTCACTGGCATTGATGTTTATTTATCAGCGAGTCTGCGCTCACACAGAACCGCAAATGTTTCCCCCCCCTTTTGTTCTGTTATAAGCACAAGAACAAAAATATTGACAGTTATGTAATAAATGTAGCTTTCCAGGTTTTCACGGCGTTGAAGTCGTCGGGGTTTATCTTGTGCGTTGTAACGCCGTGTGGATTTCCAGAACGACAAAATTTCGAATAAACATACTACTGTCCAAACCTTCAGGGTTTCTAGAAAGGGCTAGACAGGGATGAGGAGAAAATGGTCCATGCGGGGAATCAGAGAACAGGGCTGAGTCGGGAGAAATACAGGGGCCCGAAGGAAGGTGTACTCGAGGCGGCCCCTTACAAAGTCATTTCTACCTTTCCTCCCGACACAGCCCTCATCACTGAGCCCTCTAAGGGCGAATTCCTATCTGCCAGGGTTTATTATTCACATTTTCCTCGTGACGATTTGCAGAGTTTTGCCTGGAAATTGTCTTCCTTGGAATCTGCTTGCGAAGACTTTACAAATTAACAGCGTAAAGATGTACTTAGATAAATTATTAAGACTTTACAAAATAAGAGCGTAAAGATGTACTTAGATAAATTATATTTACGTACGTACGTACGTATTTTACAGAAGCGTGTTTCGCGATTTTCTGTACCTTACTGACCTTGAAGTTTAATTACAGGAGACAGAGATTCATGTCACAAAGATAATCTCATTAAAAAGAATTAGAGCTGTAATTCCTTGGAATTTCTTTGGACGTTACACACATCAAACATAACCTATCGTTAAGGTAGCTTTGTTTCTAAGCCTCTAATAATGGAACCTAAGGTTTAGACGTCACACATTCCAAGCATCTCTCATCTTCCGAAATTATTTTTAAAAGAACCATTATAATAGTGTTCTCTCATCAGCTTCGACGTGTCTGAAGCAGATAGCAAATTCTGAAGATTCACAGCATGGTACACAGAATGTGTACTGATTATTATTATTTAGTGTTCTGTCTGAGGACAGGTCCATATGAACAGGATCCTTCCATCCTTTTCTCGGACTGGGACCTGTTCATATACGTTCTTGGCAGATGATCCAGAAGTGGTTTGCCAATGCCTTCTTCTGTGTGTGTGAGTGGAGTAATTGTTGGGATGCCACATGAAATTAATAACTGAAAGTCGAGACCTGCCTGCACGGTAGTAAGACGCCAGTAATTGCGAAGAGAAATAGATCTAGCCATGTATTACGGGGCCGTAGAAATCAGATTTTCAGGATAAGTGGTTGGCATGGCAACGACTGATTACAGCAGAGTGAATTACGGTGACGGAATACCGTGTAAAGGCTAGGCATCACCCCCATCCCCCACCCAGGGTAGCGCCTATCGAGGAGATTGAGTGAAGACGTAATCGGCGATTACGAAACAAACATGGGGCAACTCAGAAGCAGACAGATGAACTGCAAAATGGCAGTAAAATACGTTTTGTCTGATGCTGAAATCAAAGGTAAAGGAGTCAAAGAAGGAGAAGAAGAAGAATTTGAGGAAATGAGAGGCATCTAAAGCAGGACATTAACGCATCTACACAGACGAAAAAATCCCTAGCGCGACACGACTGAAGCAAAG